AGATGTACCTCTTCATGCCTTGTCAATGTTCCGAAGAATGAGTGTGTCTTTACCTCAAGCTCAAGTTCCAGCCTGCTTCCAAGCCAGAATGGCGATCAGAAGTGCTCTCCCTGAGTACCAGTCCCTGCTAGAGGCATCTTGGCTATGTTTGCAATGAGTTCCTAGGAGACCAACTGCGACGGTGGATACTAGAGTTCGAATGGCTGATGCCCAGAACGCAAAGGTTCTGGATTTTCGAGACTAAAGTATGGTTTAAATACCCAAGGGTATATCCCCAGTTTGAAATGTTTATGGAAGCCCCATAGGCTGAGGTAGCGGGTATGCACCTCAATTCCAGATACTGAACCAATCTAGTCTGTCAACCCGTTGGAGAATAGGGAAAGTTGTGAACATGGCCAGGAAGGAAAGGTAGTAACTGCGGTTTGGAAGTATAATCGAGAAAGTGCAAGAAGAACCCACTTTTCAACTCAAAATGTTTCTATGGAAGTTTCAACTCATGTCTTCGATGTGTAGCTCACCGTCGGTTAGCATGCACGAGGTATATCCTTTTTGAAATATATTGTAACCCCTCTGAGAGGTAAATCAAAGGTCATAACTAAATCGGTCTTGCCAAGACGCACATTTTTTCACTGAGCATATTGCATCGAATATGCATTGATTATTGTGCATAGAATATGTTATGTACGTTCCATTTGCATTGTTATGCACTTTCTACTTACATTGTTATGCACCTTTTCACTTGCATTGTCATGCACATTCCATTTACATTGTTATGCACCGTTCCACTCGTATTGTTATGCACCGTTCTACGTGCATTTTTATGCACCTCTTCACTTGCAATGTTATGCATGTTTCACTTGCACTGTTATGCACCTCTTCACTTGCATTGTTATGCACGTTCCACTTGCATTGTTATGCACACTCCACCTGCATTGTTATGCACCCGTTCTACTTGCATTGTTATGCACCGTTCTACTCGCATGTTACGCACCGTTCTACTTGCATTGTTATGCACGTTTCACTTGCATTGTTATGCACCGTTCTACTTGCATTGTTATGAATGCATGTTTCACTTGTATTGTTATGCACATTTCACTTGCATTGTTATGCACGTTTCACTCGCGTTGTTATGCACATTTCACTCGTATTGTTAAGCACCATTCTACTTGCATTGTTATGCACCGTTTCACCTACATTGTTATGCACTTTCCACTTGCATTGTTATGCACGTTTCACTCGCATTGTTATGCACATTTCACTCGCATTGTTATGCACCGTTCTACTTGCATTGTTATGCACTGTTTCACGTACATTGTTATGCAATGCATTGATATGCACCTTTTCTTTGCACCTTGTGTTTCACACACGTTTGGTTCCCCTCCTCCTTTCACGTTTGACACGCGTTTGGCTACCTTTCTCCTCTCGCGTTTGACATGCGTTTGGTTACCCTTTCTCCTCTCGCGTTTGGCACGCGTTTGGTTACCCTTTCTCCTCTCGCGTTTGACACGCGTTTGGTTACCTTTTCTCCTCTCGCGTTTAACACGCGTTTGGTTACCCTTTCTCCTCTCGCATTGGATTAGTGCACTTTCTTGCGCAGTCCTTCTTCTTTCGCATTTGATACGCTAGGAGGTGTTTCGTTTGAGACTTTGGGTGTTCCCGATAGTCACTTTCAGTCTTTCCTGCGTGAGGCACAGTGAAGATTGCATGATTTTCTGATCTCCTTTCTATACTAAATGTGGTTTGACTTATTAGTTTTGCGCTTGGCGCGTTTGAATGTACTCGCACTGTCTTGTGCGCTCACTTGGTCTGGGAGACCTTAAAATCCTGTAGTTTACACTCGCGCTATTTTGCGCACCTTTCTTGCACTTGTTAGTGCATTACTCGCGCTATTTCGTGCACCTTTCTTGCACCTGTTAGTGCATTGCTTGCACTATTTTGCGCACCTTTCTTGCACCTGTTAGTGCATTGCTCGTGCTATTTTACACACCTTTCTTGCACCTGTTAGTGTATTGTTCGCGCTGTTTTGCGCACCTTTCTTGCACCTATTAGTGCATTGCTCGCGCTATTTTGCGCACCTTTCTTGCACCTATTAGTGCATTTCTCGTGCTATTTTGGCGTACCTTTCTAGCACCTATTAGTGCATTGCTCACGCTATTTCGCGCACCTTTCTTGCACTTGTTAGTGCATTGCTCGCGCTATTTTGCGTACCATTCTTGCATCTGTTAGTGCGTTGCTCGCGCTGTTTCAAGCACCTGTTAGTGCATTGCTCGTGCTATCTTGCACGCCTTACCTGTACTTGTTAGTGCATTTCATTGCACTGTTTTGTACATTTAATCCACATCGCACTGTCTTGTGCACCTGTATAGCACTGCTTTGTGCATTCACTCTTGCATCGCACTGTTTTGTACATCTTGTTAGCACTGTCTTGTGCATTTCAACCTGCATCGCACTGTCTTGTGTACATTGTATTTTTGTATCACTCGCATTGTCTTGTGCACTCTTTGGTCTAGGAGACCTTAAATCCTCTGGTCTAGGAGACCTTAAATCCTACATCTCCATTCGCACTGTCTTGTGCACTCCTCCGGTCTAGGAGACCTTAAATCCTCTAAAGGTACAATTCCTTTGGTATTTGTCATGCCCAAACGACTTCCGGTGGTCTGGTATAGCTAGCTGCCAGTGTTTGTAGTGAGTTCCTAGGATAACTGAGACGGTGGAAACTAGAGTTTGAATGGCTGTTGGCTAGAACGCAAAAGTTTGGGATTTTCGAGGCTAAAGTCTGGTTTATATACCCAGGGGTGTATCTCCGACTTGAAATCTGTATGGAAGCCCCATAGGTTGAGGTAGCAGGTATGCGCCTCGATTCTGGATACTGAACCAACCTAGTCTATCACCCTATTGGAGAACTGGGAAAGCTACGACCATGGCCAGGGAGAAAAGTATTACTATTGTTTGGAAACGCAAGGTGAAAATCCCCAACAACATAAGGTCAGTCATCGCCGATTGTCCCTAAAAGGTACTTCCACTTCCTAGGTGCTGCATTACATTTTACATCTATTACGTCTGTTGCATTGCATATAGCATCTATCACATGCATCTATTGCATTATATCTATTTTATTTCATGCATCCTTTCCATGTTAAGCTTGGTTTGGCATGTGCCCATACTTTTCGCGTTAAAGCATGGTTCTGTCATTATGTGTACGTGCCTATTCCACTAAGAGAATTGTGGTCTGAGGGTGTCGGCACCTTTTCTGTGTTATACGTGGCTTGTTTGTGTCCATGCCTTTTCTAGGTAGAAATGTGGTTTGGCTGTGTTCCTTGTTCATTGCATCCATTGCATTCATTGCATCGTACTTTGTTTTGTTGCATTTAGCGTTTAGGATCATGATCTTTCCATAGCAGATCATTCCTCACTTATATCATCCCACCCAATTACTTGTATTCTTTCTGCGAAACACATAGTTCTGCCTGTGTATACACCTAATCCAGTAAAGAGAATTGTGGTTTGAGGATTCCAGCACCTTTTCTATGTTAAACATAGTTTGATTTTGCATCTCCATCCCTTTATGATATTTGTGTGGTTTTGCACTACTTGTGGTTCGATTATTTCATTGCATTGCATATCATTACATTGTTTTGTAATATTGCATATCATTTTGCAGCTTGCCTCTGAACTACGCTGGTTTAATTCCTTGCAAAGGGATACGTAAGCAGCCTGCGGGCACAACCATTTATTTATCTATATTTTGTTTGTCTGTCCAAGTCTTTAGCTTTGTCAAAAATGGGTCGTCTCTGGGCTTTGACATTCACACACGTCATTTCATGACTCTGAGCTCTATCAAAGAGGGACAACAGTAGACACCCCATTTTTGACCGCCCTTAAGACTTGGGCACTACTAATTGCTTACCTGAGGATGCAGGCTATGCTATGCAAAGGTTCGATTTCTTTGGCAAGGAGAGAGACAAATCCCAACTTCACACCCATTTTTGGACCAAAATTATTTTGACTAAAAGATTTTAGACCTTAAAACCCTCTCTTTCAAAATATTTTTGAAAAGAAGTTCCTACGATGTTCCAATGCTCGCATTTTGTTAAATGTTGCGCTTTTTTGTAAACCGAGCAGGGACAAAGTAAAAATGAATGAAAGAGAGGTAAACTCTTTGAAAAATCTTCCAAAACATCTTGTTTAGAGGTTTGGAGTTGAAGAAAAGAGGAGAAGAGGGAAGAAACCAAGCTAGAGAAAAAGATGGGCATGAATCGCTAAGAGAGAGTCGAGCAACCCTCGCTAAAGCATGGCTACCCATTTGCACACTTGGATTTCAGCTATGAGGCCACCACCGTTGGAAAAAAGAATTTTGGGGCTTCATTTTGCACTCAAGAGTCCCCTAAACCCAAGTCCGGATGGGGGAGATATGGTTGGTTAAAGTAGGGCATCAATCTGGTTGGACCGAAACTGAGTTGTCTTCACTGAAAGAGGGATATCTCTTAGCACAGTTGGAATTTTGATATGAGGATGCCACCTTTGGAAAGCGTACTTTTGGGGCTTCAATTTGCAAACAAGAATGACCTGAAAAGGCATCCAGATGACGAAGTTAGGCTTGCTTCAAGTCGGGGACGAGGACTGATTTTTGCTACCAACCACTAAGGGAGTGTGCCAACCACAAATGGAGCATGCCGACCATATGCCGACCAAAAATCATCCTTGTCAACCAATAAAAGTGGTCGATCGACTAGTTGAGGTGGTCAGTCGGCCAGAAATTTTTGACAAGAACGGAAGACCCGGAAGATGCTACTGCTGCACGGTTGGACAGAATGGAAAGGATGATTATGGAAATGGTAGAGACTTTACTGCAACAACAGCAACCGCTACAACCACAACTGCCACCGCCACCTGTTCCTCCGCCTGTGGTACAAGATTTTCATGTTGAGAACTAGACTATTGCACTCACGAGGGAATTTGAGAAGATGAAGCCGCTATCATTCAAAGGATGAATAGAACCAATGAAAGTTAATGCGTGGGTGTTGAGAATAGAAAAGTTGTTCGAAGTTTTCCCTTGTACCAAAGCCCAAAAAGTGCAAATTGCTACCTTCACTCTTGAAGACGAAGCACAGAGGTGGTGGATGCTTACGAGAACTGTACAGCAAGGATTAACACGGGACAGGTTCTTGGAACTGTTTTATGACAAATACTTTCCCCAAAGTACGCGAGACAAGAAGGTAACAGAATTTGAAACTCTCAAACAAGGGAACAAGACCGTTGCAGAGTATGAGGCCCAATTTGCAGAGCTAGCCCAATTTGCACCTCATATGGTGGATCCGAATTATAAGAAAGCACAGAAATTTGAGGGGGGACTACGAAATGCTATCCTTGACCGAGTGAACATGTTGAGGTTACCCACCTATGTTGATGTGTTGAAGAGAGCTGTTATAGCAGAGGGAAACATCGCTGCTCAGAATCGGATTTCCGAGTGGAAAGGAAAGAGGCAGAAAATTCAATTGTCAAAGGGGTCAGCCACTCCACCAAATAAGAAACAAAATTCAGGGACCTCTAGTACTTTCACCCTTACTCAAGATTCAACTCCTGTTTGTTCAGAATATGGAAAGAAGCACCATGGGCTTGCTATCAGTTGACTGGAGCATGTTTTAGGTGTGGTAAAATGGGTCATCTGGTAAAGGACTCTCCTCAGAAGAATGAACAAAATGAAAATAGGGCTACTGCAAGTTCAGTAGGGTCAACACCAGCTCCCAACACCAAGTCAGTTGCGAGACCTGTTAACAATAAAGACACCGCGAGACAAGGGAGGGTGTTTGCATTGGTTCCGAGAGATGTGCAAAATGCTGAAACAGTGGTGTCAGGTATATTTATTATTCACGGTCATTCTGCTCATGTATTGTTTGATTCTGGCTCTACCTATTCCTTTGTGTCGAAATTATTTGATCAAAATTTAGATAAATCTGAGGAAGTATTATCTTATATGTTATGTGTGTCTTCACCTTTGGGAGACTCTATGATCTGTACTTCTGTATATTTTGCTTGTGAACTCCTACTTGCGGATATCTGGGTATATGCCAACTTATTGCCTCTTGACATAACTCACTTCGATGTTATTCTGGAAATGGACTGGCTGAGTGACTATCGTGCAACAATTGACTGTCTGACTAAGCAAATCAGTTTCCACCCTTCGGCACAATTAGAATTTACCTTTCAGGGACATGGATTGACTTCTCCACCTTATTTAATTTCTGTAGTAAAGGCCTACAAATTAATTCAGAAAGGGTGTTGAGGGTATCTGTGCTGTGTCTTAGAGGGGCAACCAATGAATGAGAGTACTCATATAATTCCAGTTGTCTGTGAATTTCTGGATGTTTTTTCGGAAGAATTACCGAGAGAGTTAGTAGACCATGAAATCGAGTTTACAATTGAAGTGGCACCGGGAGCTCAACCCATTTCTAAGATGCTGTATAGAATGTCACCAGTTGAGATGAAGGAATTAAAGGTTCAGTTGCAAGATTTACTTGATAAGGGGTTCATTTGCCCAATTGTCTCTCCTTGGGGTGCACCAGTTCTGTTTGTGAAAAAGAAAGATGAAACACTCCGACTATGTATAGATTACAGGGAACTCAATAAGGTAACGATCAAGAATAAGTACTCGTTGCCTCAGATCGATAATTTATTTGATCAATTATGAGGGGCACAAGTCTTCTCAAAAATTGACTTACGGTCCGGATACCACCAACTAAAGGTCAAAGCTGATGATGTTGAAAAGACAGCTTTTCGAACCCGACACGGTCATTATGAATTATTGGTTATGTCCTTTGGAGTTACTAACGCACCAGCAACGTTTATGGATTTGATGAATCATGTCTTCAAGCCTTATCTGGATGAGTTTGTAGTCATATTTATCGATGACATCCTTATTTACTCGAAAAATGCAGAAGCCCATGGGAATCACCTTCGTTTAATTCTTCAAACACTTCGAGAAAGGAAATTGTATGCCAAGCTGAAGAAATGTGAATTCTGGCTAGATGAGGTAGCATTTTTGGGGCATGTGATAACAAAGGAAGAAGTTTTTGTTGACCCATACAAAATTGAGGCAATCGTGAATTGGCTAACCCCTACCAATGTGACTGAGGTGCGTAGTTTCCTGGGATTAGTCGGGTACTACAGGAGGTTTGTTCAAGATTTTTCCAAAATCGCCATGCCACTTACCCAATTGACTCAGAAGGGGGTTTTGTTTGAGTGGTCAGCACAGCGGGAATCTTCTTTCCAAGAGTTAAAAACAAAGTTGACTACAACATCTGTTCTAGCATTGCCATCGGGTACTGAAGGATTTGTGATCTATAGTGATGCTTCCTATAAGGGATTAGGTTGTGTACTTATACAAAATGGGAAAGTCATCACTTATGCTTCCTGACAGCTCAAACCCCATCAAAAGAATTATCCCACGCATGATCTTGAGCTAGCAGCAGTGGTTTTTGGTTTGAAGATATGGCGACATTATCTGTATGGCACTACTTGTGAAGTATACACTGACCATAAGAGCCTCAAGTACTTTTTCACCCAGAAAGAGTTGAATATGCGACAGCGGCAGTGGTTAGAGCTTATTAAAGATTATGATTTGCAGATCCATTATCATCTTAGTAAAGCCAATACGGTTGCAGACGCACTTAGTCGGAAAAGTATGAGGAATTTGGCGAATTTACTTACGGAACAAAGAGAGTTATTGGTTGAATTGGATAAAATGAATGTAGACCTTGTGATTTATGGACAGGAAGCCATAGTATCAGTAGTGATGGCCCAACCGACATTAATTGAAGGAATCAAACTACGTCAAATGGAAGATGAAACTTGGAGGAAGATATGTGATAAGTTAGAGACAAAACCGAGACCGGGATTCAATCTGGTAAATTTAGTACTCAAATTTCAAGGCAAATTATGTGTTCCCAATGTGTCAGAAGACAAGCGAAAATTAATGGAAGAAGCACATGCCTCGAGATTTTCACTACATCCTGGGAGTACTAAGATGTACCAGGATTTAAAACAAAATTTTTGGTGGCCAAGTATGAAAAAGGAAGTCGCGAATTTCGTCTCCAAATGTTTGCAATGTCAGCAAGTAAAGGCAAAGCATCAAAGGCCAGCAGGGTTATTGCAACCCCTTCCAATCCCGGAATGGAAGTGGGAACATCTGACCATGGATTTTGTTGTAGGGTTACCACGAACTCCTTGGGGTATGAATTCTGTATGGGTTATTATAGATCGGTTAACTAAGTCTGCCCATTTTCTACTTGTGAAAACTCAGTGCAACACAGATAAGCTTGCTGTAATCTATGTGAACGAAATCGTGAGACTTCACGGTGTTCCAGTTTCAATCGTATCAGATAGAGATCCGAAGTTTGTATCTAGATTTTGGCAGAGTCTACAGGAAGCAATGGGTATAGAATTAAAGTTTAGTATAGCTTTCTACCCTCAGACAGATGGACAATCTGAGAGAACGATACAGACATTAAAGGATATGCTCCGAATATGTGTTCTGGATTTTCAGGAAAGTTGGGAAACTCATCTACCGTTGGTAGAGTTCGCATATAACAATAGTTACCATTCAAGTCTTGGGATGGCACCTTATAAGGCTCTGTATGGAAGGCCATGTAGCTGCCTCGTGTGTTGGGCCGAGGTTGGAGATAGATCATTGTTAGGGCCTGAAATTGTTCAGTTGACAACTGAGAAGATTAAAACAATTCGGGAAAGATTGAAAACTGTTCAAAGTAGGCAGAAGAGTTATGCGGATAACCAACGAAGAAATTTGGAATTTGAGGTGGATAGTCATGTCTTTGTCAAAGTCACCCCAATGAAACGACATCCGAGATTCGGGAAAAAGGGTAAATTAACACCCCGATATATTGGTCCATTCCAAGTGCTGGAAAAGGTAGGATCGGTAGCTTACCGAGTCGATCTTCCACCTAGTATGAGTCAAGTACATAATGTGTTCCATGTATCTATGCTTCGAGGGTATCTTCCGGATCCATCTCATGTCATTGATTACCACCAAATTGTTCTGGATGATAAGTTGACGTATGAAGAGAAACCAATTCGGATTCTGGATCGACAAGTGAAACAACTGTGGAATCGAGAGATTCCGATGGTGAAAATCGAATGGCAAGAACATTATGGGACTGAAGCTACTTGGGAAAAAGAAGAGGAAATGCAACACCAGTATCCGCATCTGTTCCTATCCTAAGGTAAAACAAGTTTGAGGGACCAAACTTATTTAAGGGGGGGAGAGTGTAATAACCTGACCCTCGTACATGTTTTCTGGTATGCTTTCAGTCCCGTATTCTGTGCATTTATATGCTTATTCTGAAATTTCATGTGAAATTAAGTTTAATTAAGTGAATCTTATGACTATAGATTCATATCTGTCTAATAAGAGAAATATTTGTTATAATTATAATGTTTAGATCAAAAATTGAAAGCCTTGGAAGCTTAATTATCAGAAATTGGCGTTCTATTTAAGATCAACATAATTTTTAGATCATAATATGGTTTTCTATAAAAATTTGATTTGGAATGATTAAACTGATTGATTTTCGTCTTTATTCACCTTATATATATATATATATATATATGTTCTCTAAACATTTGATTTAGAGCCATTATAAAAATATCTCCTGAGAGAGGGTTAGAGGAGAAGAGAGTTAGAGAGGAGGAGAAGAGAGTTAGCAAGGAAGAAGATTAGAAAACTTGAGAGGAATTTGAGAGATTTAAGGTCAAGGTAAGTTTATTCATCTCCTACAACTCTTCTCTTGAATTTGAGTTAGATTTTTTCACAATCATGTAACCTAGGGCTTGAGATTGAAATTTAGTGTATGATCATTGCTTAACTTGGAACACGTTTTGTCACTTGGGTGTTTTGGAATTAATTTGGTATTATATAAAGGACCTACATCCTATTGTTTGATTTTTGATGTTGAACCCACATAGTTTTACATATATAATGTTGTATGTTAAAGGGAATTGAGTTGTATTTGTGACTTTGAAGGAGGTAAGAGGTAATTGAGTTTTGATTCATGTTAAGGTAATGTTATGCCTTCATAATGTCCCAAATTCCTCCATTTTGAGCCTTGTATTACATTGGCCTTGGTGGGGATGTGTTTTATTTCAAACTGCACAAAACAGAGGTAGCAACCGCACGTGTGGGGCTCACAGTCGCACGTGCGGGAAAATAGGGGAACCGGAGGATGAAGCTACTGAAATAAAGGCACGTGCGGGGCTCACAGCAGCACCTACGGCCCATGCTGGAAAATTCTGTCTGCTCCATTTTATGTGTTTGACCCTATGGTGTTATTAAAATCTATATTTGATGCCTTTACAATGTTTATAAATTCATTCGAAGCGAAACGAAGTAGTTATTGTTTAAAGTGAGAAATAGACTAATTCTTAAACTGCGTGTGTATGTAGGGCACATACTAGAAGCAACTGGTGCTCCACCACAGCACTGTGAGTAATAGTACTGTAGTAGTACACTTTACTTATCGCTAATGAATAGTATTAGCACTCTGTTAATCGCTAGTCAACTATGTTAACTTATGCGAACGTTTGGAAAAATCTAGGAACATCTGTATGACTCTGAGAC